TTGGCAGCATTCTCATTTTACAAAACAAAAAGCAAGATAGAAGAATAGGTAGACTGTGGCCAAAACAGTCTCTCAAACAGTTTATAAATGAGAGTAGGAGAGCATTTGAAGAGGCATCCACTTGAAGAGAACAATACTGCTTTTAAAATGTGCAGATGGGAAATGTTAAGGCTAAATTATCGAGCAGCAAAACCCCTGTAACACTTATACATGAGAGTGTCTCGTTTTCACTACAGATCCACAAGCCAAATCCATATGTCTGCTACTGCCGGTGCAGAGAATATTCTTTAGTAAGTTCTTCTGCCATGCCTTTATCACTTCTTCTGCTATGCCTTTATCCTTACCATAACTTGTGGAGATAGGTACCTACCTTTGCACCGCTTAGGGAAAAAATAGCTAATGCATCTGACCACTTACTTCATATACCTCAAGAGCAGTCTCTAGGCACTTTTCATCTCAGCACAAGATTGTTGCTGTTGACAATGCAACCCTCAATCTGAATGAAGATCCCCCTACTAATCATAACCAAGAACAACTGTACGAAGCCCCTGTATACCCCACAAGTAATTAGGGCATGCCTGTGAGCTTAGAGACCAATATAATTCAACATAGGCAAAACACAGAGTTTTATCAATCTCCTCACAAAAAAACCCCAATTCTACAGAAAGAGAAAGCCTGCCAAACAAGTAGTTATAATAAAGCTACCTCCAGCTTCAAAAAGAAGCCACTTGGACTCCTTGGGTGAGTGAGACTGATCTCTCTGTGTTTCTCTACAGGGATCTGTCACCTCCCTGGTTTAAAGATCCGTATATCAGTCTTTACAGTGCTGAATCATGTGCGTCTGAAACCAATCCAAAAGAAAGGCAGAAAATTATGACAGTTGATACCAATACAGATATTCTCTCATTAACGTCACACTTCTTTATTCAAAACATGCAAGAGTTTACAATGGAGGTTTACCCACACAGTTGCAGACATCATCATCACAAACCAAAATGATAAGGAACAATTGGGAAGACTCCAAGATGCTGGAAAGAATTGTGAAAGCAGTGAGGAGACTATAAAAGAGCAAGCATATGCTCTTTTGGAAATCTGTGACTTAATAGACCAACACCTACTGAAGGAAGGTATCGAGCCAATGCGGGGTAAGATTTGCTGCCCTCTTGATTTTTGCTTTGTAAAAAAGGGTACTTTCATCTACAAACACAAATTAGTACATTCTTACACTAGCAATCTCCAGCAGCTCTGAGTTACTTACATTCAGAAAATGAAGCTTCACATCCATTTTTCTTGGATTACTATTTCAATTCTGAAAACTGTTTTCTTCAAAGCCTATGATTTCACCAGCAGAAGCAACAAAGTACTGCTCCAAACTGACATGTTGGTGCAAGAATATTCAATGTATCTATTCCCACAATGTTTTGTATAGAAGGGCAAGTTTTCTAAATAGTGGACAGTTAATGATGCAATTAGTATTAGACTTCTGTGCTCTTATCCCAATGCATGAGAGAAAACTGTCTTACTTTCCAGGTATATACTAACTTATCTGTGGTGCAAAATCTTCTGAATGAAATTACTGATGAATTTCCATGGGACCTAACTCAGCATATAGGGGTCCTGCCCTCCATCAGCACTTCCAATAGGGTAGATGCTGTTTGTAAGCAAGTATATCCTCATAACCTATAAAGCACAAAGCAAACTGGCTCTTGCAAGAAAATAGGATGGTACAAAAAATAATAGATAAACACAATGAATATATATATATATACAGTTCAGCTCTACGTTTTGTGTTGCATGTATCAGCCTGTGCAGGTCTACTCTGAAACCTCCCAAAACACACAACTGACAAACATCTTTGCAGGTTTACATGTTGGTCTTTTTATTACAGAACCTCTACATTAGGAATATTTATTCAAGTAGTCAATTTAATCTAGCTTAAGTTCCTGATGGATGTATTTATGGTTATTTAATGTCTCACAGTAACGACAGCAAAACCAGCAGGAATTCAAAAGCAAATGTTTCAGGCAAATTCTCTCCTTCAATTACTTAAAATTTGACAGGGTTGAACACAATCAAAGCAAGTTTTATGCACTCCTGAACATCTTACCCTACACGTACAGAGTACCCTATACCTACACAAAGCTCTGAGATCACAGCTACAAAAACTCACTTTTTAAAGTCTTTATGTCTTTCTAACTTGAAGCACTTATAGGGTGCCTACCCCTTTAGAGGCATTAGAAGCCACATCCTCTCACACTTCAAAACTCAAAAAAACCCTCCAGATTTTCAAATGGAGCTTAATAAAGATGACAAGCAGAAATTCTGGCCAGAAATCTTCTGAGTACATGCAAACCAGGTATACTCTATATGCTTCATTTTCTAAAAACAACAGCATATGACAATTAACAATGCTGTTGAGAAGTAAGTCAATACTGTAACCCCTTTAAAAATTACTATGTATGTTGCAGAAGCTGTGCTCTTCAGCAAATGACTTCCTCCAAGATTAAGAGATCACACCTGGGGCAAGCACACATAGAAAAAAATCTAATCAACACTTGGTCTAAGTTATTTGGGTAACTGTCTCTAGAAAATATGTCTTGTCATCTTCTTTATCTCGACACTTTGACAAATTGAGTCAAAAAACTTCCAAAAAGAGCAAATGTCATCTCAAATAATATCAAGTCAATGCCCCTAACATTAAAGAAGTCCAGTCCTCCATGGGTAGTCCTTCAGTCTGATTGCTCTTATATACCTCTCCTGTTTATCTCAGGTTAGCACCACTTCACTGTCAACCTGGACTATGGTTTTCACAGATTAGTACTCAAAGACAAGGAAGCCAGTGACTGGGTGACATACTGCAGCATCTAAGAGAGAAATAAAAGGAACAATCTTCCAAGCATGCATGAGATAGTGTATTGTTGGGCAAAGAACACAAAACTACATCAGGAAAGGAATTATCAAAATTGTTCAGAATGGCCAATGTTAACTGAAGCTGCAGTCAGCTGGATTTGCAAGTCAGACTCAAAACTAGAATGTTAAATCAGCACACAGAGTTCATCCTATTCAGTAGAGAAGCAGGAAAACCAAGCAGCTTATTTAACTGCCTAGTACCCTCTCTGTAGCTTTTTCATCTGGTTAGAGGAGTCCCAATAGGCAACAGTCTGTCGTCTTGAAAAAAAAAAATTATCAAGCTAGTTCTGTTTAGCATTTTAGTACAACACATTTCCCAGCTACAACATCCACTTCAGCATAATGTAAAGCTCTCAGCTGAAGTGAAGTGATGAAAGAAAAGAAACATGTCTGGAAGAGGACAGCACAGCTCCAGCTTTTCTGTAAAGGTAAGGAAATAATTTCTATTTGATTTTACTATGAAGTCTTGGGAAAAAATCATGCTATTTATGTTTTTTTAATAAAGGATGGATTGCTGAAACACATGGCAAATGTACTGGCTCTCTAAAGGATCTACTAAATTGAACATTCTCATTGTTCTTTTTAAACTAGTACCAGGACTTACTGGGAAAAAAAAAAATTTCATCATATTATAGTCATTAATTTTAGATTTGCATTCACACTCCATTATCTCTAATAATTAGCATTAAAAATGTCCTGAACTCAAATCAGTTCACCACCATTTTCATCTGATATCTAGAATTAAAATTCTTTTTTTCTGGATATATACAGGACAATCACCTAATAGAGTGGCTGCCATATGAAGTACATATTTTCTTTTACTATAACTACCTTTCTGTACCTACACATATTGTTCTGTTAGACTTGAAACCTATCTCTCAACCTACAAAGTTCCTTAGACTGAGAAAAGACAGAACCTATAAATGCCAAATTACTCCCTTTTTCTTATTTTTCCTATCTATAGGCTCTTTTAAGAATACCAACTCACCTGTGAAATTTTTTGCTTAAAAATTAAAAATGAGCCAAAAAAATAAAATAAAACATCCTCCCTAGAAACCCTCTTGTAGAGCTGAAAACATTAATCAATGCATACTGCTTAGAAACCTATGAAACCTTCTGTTGGCACCAAGCCAAATGCAAACAGTTTGACACATGCTGATCTCCACTTGGATTACAAATGCCCCAGGCATCTATTTCCATACAGCATCCACGACAGGAAGAAAATGTAAACAGCCTGAATTTGGAAGAAAGGTTACTTACTACAGGTTTCAAATTGCAACACAGGAAGACAGCCCATAAAGGAGTATCAAAATAGGACCCCTTGTGTTCCCCTAGTAACACAAACTATCTTAAGTGTGCAGCAGCAGTAGCTGCTGTGCACAGAAAGTGATGGGAGAGCTGATGGTAAATACTGCAGTCCTCACTTTTTAAGAAGCCCACACCACAGAGGCTTGTTCTAGCAGAAGCAAACACCTAACACCTTTTTGTGAAATACAGAATGCATATGATGATGACCAAGAACTGCCTATCCTCAGATCTATGATCCTCTAGTCAGTAGCTTCTTTTATTACTCTTACACTGGTCTGGGTCAGATATAAACCCTCCATTCTCAGCACTGTCGGTTCCATTCAGAAGTTTAACAAACACTACCCCACAGAGAGTAACAAACACCTCAAATATCACAAAACAGCTAAATCCAGGGTTAATGGATTTACTCATTACAATTTCCAGTGCAGTACCAATGGGTTACCTACCACTGGTAATGCACTGGAAATTGTAATGAGTATATGCAGAGATTCTGTACAACTGAGATACGATTCCAGACAATAAGCACAGACCCAATTTTGTTTTCTCACACAAGTTTTACAGTTGTGCTGTAATGAACTACTATTGTGTTACAGTATCACTGTATTATATATTGTTAAATGCAAGAAAAACAACTTCTCTTGTACACAATTATAATGATATAAAAGCTATCAGTTTAATCTTTTACATACCATTAAAAACACCATATTCACAGTACAATAACTACTTGTTAGCTTATTTTCATTTTTAAACAATATTTGCAACTGAAGGGCATATAATAAAGATGCAAGACATCTGGGCAATGAAGCAAGTGCTGTCATGTGTCATGAGAGTCACAGCCTGGTGCCAAAGATCACCAGTGTTCTGCAGCTGTTTATGCCCATGATCACAAACGGCACTACGTGGTACAATGCTCTCCTGTATCAGCAGAGACAAACAGATGTGCTGGCTCCTGCTCACCAGAGGATGGTGGTAGCTTATCCTTTTCTTCAGAGTCTTCTATGTTTCTGCCTAGAAGAGCAGCACTGTAGAAAACTTTTAGCTGTTCTGAGCTAAATGAGAATAAGGAAAGAGAAGTATATACCAGTTCGCAAAGGAAAAATATATGAAGTGACAGCTCTGCAGCTGCACTGGCTTGGCTTGTTTGCGGCAGGAAAATTGTATTGATTTTATGGACTCAAAAGACCCCATAAAATCAACTCTTGTGTCAAAAGGCTAGAAGCATCACGTGAAGCTAGTGAAGCCTCAACCATGAAAGTAAGGTAACAGTGCGAGACTGGAAGATTTCCCACACTTTCAACGCTCTTCCTTCCAGAACAAAGCTGAGGCAAAAGAAGAGGAAAGACAATTCAGTGCTGCCAAGGTAGCGTTCCCCATTTTCTGTCAGCACACATTACCATCCCCTCCTCAAAGCTCACAGTTCAAAACCCAAGCAAATGTCACAAAGCTTTGCACCCAGCACAGGGGAAAGGGCTCCACGAGCAGGGCAGTGCAGCACCACACTCCTGCAGCTGCACAGGGTCACTCCTGCAGCACCACAACCCCTGGCAGCTTGCGGGAACTCTGTGCTGGGCAGCTCTGCACACGGCATGGCACTATTCCCAAAAGGTTCTCCACAACCAATTCCTGGGAAGGAAAAGCACCGAGAAAACATACTGGACTTCAGGAATATCACACCTTCCCAACAGACACCGAGTGCCCTCGCTTTCACAATGAACTCTTGGCTCCACTGAAACAACTTTGCCTCAAGGTATTTTCCACCGCTTGCCAACGCTGACAAAGATTTGGGCTTGATTTAAAGCTGCTCCACAGCTTAGGCAGAAACTTAATGATGCAAAACCCTGCAGTTGGGTTTTCTGGCTGGTTTTCCTTCCTGAATTAAAAATGTCCAGAGGGTACAGAAACAGTCCCTGCCTGCCTGAGGGACAGACTGAGTCTCTTCAGCAATCAGTGCTGGGAATGCCTGCACTGCCAAAAACACTGGTGACAGGCAGTCAGTGAGCTGCTCCTCTTACTCCTCACCAGAAGGGTGCAACACCTTGGCCACAGTACTCCTGGCTACACTGTCAGCTGCAGTCAGCTTTTCTCGCTGAAACTTAACGCTTTCCAACATTTGCTCCTTCCACCATAAAACTTCACTATCTAACAGCACATCCTCCTAGAAGAAGTTGCCATGGAGATTTCTTTATGCAATTAAAATGGTCTGGGAGCCTGCAGAATCAGCACCAACATTCATGGTCTCAGCAAGGTTTTGAAATTATCGGTCTGCTGGTAATATCCACAACCTTTGTAAAAAGAAGAAACAAAAAATGACTGTAACATGGAAAAATAAATTTCAAAGGGAAAGTCTGCCCTTTTTGGGGGTGTGGGGGGCGTTGTACCAGAACTCCATATTAAAACTGTATTGACTTTGTTTTTAAATTCATGGGAATACATGCACATGCATTAGAAGACTGCAGAAAGTCAGAAACAGAGGTCAAGCTTCAGATAAAATTTGGATTTCATTCGTGTTGCTTTGCTTTAGCACATGCACAGACACACCCACACAAAAGTAAACGATAAGCAACTCCACTTCAATAATGCCAGAAAGTAACACCATTTTAACTAATCCTGGTGAGGATTTCATTTCCAGTCTTTAATGAGACTTGCTCCAATTCAGTTGCAAAAAAGTCCTCCTAAACATCTTGGTAATGGAAAGAGTACATCAATTAGGCTCTTCAAGTCAAGCCACTGTTGTTTTTTTAACGAACGCCAAACAAAAAGGTTGAAGAATGATCACAAACATCAGATCCCAAGCAGACTACATCTAAATTGTTTAAGCAGTTTTAGACACATAGGCAGATTAAATATATCTAATTGAAACATATATAGTATATTAATCCTCTTTCTGAGATGAAGGATTTCTAGCTCATGTCTACTTTTAGGAGTAAATAGCATCCATATACACATTTTTTCCCTATAAAATTTCCACTCTAACTTCAAAACAAGAATTTAATTTCTACTGCCTATACAGAAGCACAGAGAAACTTGTATTTATTCTACATGTCACCATGTACCAAACCAGCCCTGGACCATCTTGGTGGCCCTGCACCAGGCCTGTTCCGTGTAACAATCTATTTCCTGCACAGGGGAGCCCCAGACTGGGCACAGCACTCCCAATACAGTCTTACAAGTGCAAGCTGCATGCAAGGATCACCTCCCCAGACCTGCTCTGACCACACACTGACTCATGCAGCCCAGACGTAGCTACCACAACTTGCTGCCACAACTCACACTTACTGCAAGGACTGCTGTCACCTCACCTTCAGAAGTTTCTCATCTGTGCTGGTTTTGGCTGGAGTAGTGTTAACTTTCTTCACAGTGACGAGTATGAAGTGGTATGTTAGATTTGTGCTGAAAACAGTGTTGATAATATAGAGATTTTTTTTTTATTGCTGAGCAGCACCAAAATAGCTTCAGGGCCTTTTCTGCTTCTCCTGCTGCTCCTTCAGCAAGAAGACTGCGGGTATGCAAGGAGCAAGGGAAGGAATACAGTCAGGACAGCTGACCTCAGTTGACCCGTGGTATATTCCATATCATATGATATCAAGCTCAGCATACAAACGTTGGGAAGGAGGAAGTGGGGGATATTCAGAGTGATCATCTTTTAAAGTCAGTATTCTGCATGACGGAGCCGTACTTTTTTGGGGATGGCTGAAAACCTGCCTGCCCATGGGACAGTAAATTACTTCCTTAGTTTCCTTTGATTGTGTGAGTGATTTTTCCTTTTCCTATTGAACTATTTTTACTCAACCCATGAGTTTTCTCACTCTTATCCTTCTGATTCTCTTCCCCAGCCCACTGGTAGCAGAAACAGAGCGGCTACATTGGGCTTATTTTCCAGCTGGGTATTATTAAACTACAACACTGACACCATCACCACCTCTAGAGCTGCCCCCTAGATTGCTGGCCCACTCTCCAGCCCACACCTCACCAATTTGGTGATGATGTGACTGGAGTCAAGTCCTTGCTTTAATCAATGTATACTAACTACACCCCTTTACCCACAGTGTCAGTCATTTCATCAGAGAAAGCAATGAGGTCAATCAGGCAAAACTGGTCCTTGGCAAATCCATGCTGATTGCTCCAAATCACCTTCTTGTCCTTTGTGTTTTAAAAAAGGACTTCCAAAAGGATTTACTTCATAACCTCCCCAGGGACTGAGGTTATGGTGATTGGCCTGAACTTCAACTTTGCTCACTCTGTTTCTTCATGCATGGGCTTTATTCCTCCCACAAAGCCTGCCCCAGCTTCCGTCTCTTGCATACCTCCTTCTCGTGGGTCCAGCCCAGTTAGAAGCTCCACGTTTATTCTTGCCAGCCCGTTGCCATCCTTCCTGACTTCCTGCACATGGGAATGAAACGTTCTTGTGCCCTGAAGAAGTTGCCTTGAAGACCAACCAGCTCTCCTGGACGCCTCTACTCTCCAGGGCAGCTTCCAGAGAAAAAAATGCAGAGGCCAAGATCTGCCCTTCTGAAGTTCAGGTTTGTAATTCTATTGTTAATCTTGATCATTCCCCTCAGGACCTTAAACATTACAATCACCTGGTTGCTGCAGACAAGGCTGCCTTGTCCTCTGCATCTTAATCATCTTCTACTTCAATCCATGAAATCAAAACTGATATTTAACAATCTGGAAAATACTTGCCTGTTACTTAGTTTATTTAGTCAGTAAAACTAGGGCAGATTTCACATAGCTGCTTTTATAAATGAAAAGGGGGTAGTTTTAAATTATGGTGCAATTGGCTGACCTGCAAAAAAAACCCACAAACCAAAACAACAACTGACTTCTACTCTAAGCCAGTAAAAGTTTGTGTAGCACACATGTGGAATGGGCCACAAAGTGTGGCAAATACCAAGCAAGCTGCTATATATAGTACTGTGTATGACATCATGCAGCATTCCGTATCAGCTGGGAAATGAATCACCCACCACCTAATCTATAGGTTTTCATGTGATGTCCTGTAAAATGGTGTTTTTAAAATCCTAATCAGCAAACATCATTACAGGTATAACATTTACCCATTATACATGCATAAAATAAGCCTATGTTACAGCAAGTGAATTCCTTCCTTCTCATAGGCTATCACTGTTTTGCTTTTAGAATTTATGCCTCTTGGCAGAAGAGCTGCTGTGATTTTTTTTAAACAAAAAACATTCGAAGGATAAAGTGCAAATGGCAACATTACATTTGGTTCTTTAGGAAAAAAGGCACTTCGCTCTTAATTTCAACTAAAATATAGATGTCGCAAAAAAGAACACTTTCTGTTGAAACTTACCTACATTTCTACCTAAAAATGCACAGTTCACAATTTGCCTGAGACTTACCAGAAAAGATTTTCCTCTGCATATTGTTCTATATGCACTTAAAACTTATTTCCTGATGCAGCCATACTAAAGTACAAAAGTTAACTGTTATGCCTACTTCATGCATAAAGTAGGATTACAAAAATCCTTTTCTATGTCACTGCCAAAAGAATGTCTCCAATAGGGATGTAAAACAAAGCTTGCAACTACTAGGTACTTCATTTATACATAAAGACCACTACATACCTATTTAAATACTTGAAAAATTTAAGAGAGGCTTTGGTAAAAATCTCCATTAAAGACTATTTACTTCAGAGAAACCTCATGGACAGATAGTTGTTTTGAATGAGCTCAGGTGTCAAAGTACAAGTCCTTTCAAATACAAAAAGGAAGCAAGAAGTATCATTCTTATTCAATACAAAGAAAAGACAACAATTATATTACAGCTGACAAATGGGGAAAGCCCATACTCATTCTTGCCGAGAGTTTTCTTGCCAGCTTCTCAGAGCAAACATTACCCAAGTCTTGCAGCCACAGTGAACTACTGCTGCATTAAGGCCCAGCTGTTCTCAGGTGGAAGTGCTCCTGCAGAGACCTGACTGATCCAGGCTGTGGGAATTAGGCTAAACAGCCAAGTGCGCAAGACAGTGCGGACAGCGCATGGCTGGGTCTGCTCAAAAGTCAGGGCACAATAAAGTGTGTTGCGA